GGTGAAGTAATCCTGAATTCAGAGATCAGAAGAACTGTCATATACCATATACCTGGATACAGATCCGAAGATCTGGATCTCAGATCTGATCTAGATGCGATGGATATATCTGTCGTCCGGTCCACAGATCCGATCTGATTCTTATTTTATGTCCTGTTTATATAACTCTAACTATCGTTCATCTCCTTTCGGGATTCCTGTACACCAGTATACCGGTGAAGGATCTTCAACTCAGCTGAGGGTGCAGCTGATATAATTGTTGAAGGGAGGAAAATATGAGTGCGATATGTTCGTCCCTTAGGGGAAGCGGAGAAAGCAAATATCCACTGGTCAACTCTAGGGGGAATGCGCAAAGCGCGTGATAAGGCGAAAGTGTGGGAACAAAGGCGCTATAGGCGCGCGAAGCGCGGGAAAGTCGCGCGTCGAAAAGCGGAACTGGGTGAAAGCGGTATGCGAGCGATAGTGAGATGTTAAGACGTGTACTGAGATGCTGATAAGACAACTGATGCGGATATGGCCACTAGAGCTAACTGCTACTAGGGCTTGCGATGATTTATTCAAAACATAATAAAAACTCGGAGATGGTGACTGTCTATGATGATGGTGGTCCGTGGTAATGTGTGTTGTCTCCAGTAAAAAATGTGTAATGAAAAATGTGTACCAAGTGAAAATAAACATGGTACGATGTTGAAATAAATGATAAATGGAGAAATGCATACCTGGGAACTTGGTTGGACATGGGAAAACACAGTGGGAAGTCAGGCGCCCTATAGCACTTAGGCGCGGGAAAGTTCGCCTAAAGCGCGCGCAAGTCGCAGAAGTGTCGCCTATGTCGCGGAAGTGTCGCCTAAGTTGCGCGCGTCGCGCGAACGTCACGTTTATCGCGCAAGTGTCGCGTTGCATGCATATTACTGTAGACTCGACCTATGTTGCAATATATGCCATTGTGAGGCTACTCAGGATCGAGTCTCTACATCTCCTGGGGGCTTAAATTCTGAGTGTCCCCACTCAGTGCATCAAGTGGTGAACTCAAGCGAAGTTGTGATGGGGGTATGTGATGCGAGAGGAGTGTACTGCGAGCGTGTCTGAGGCGAATGTGATGAGGCGAGACTGGCAAAACAATGGCGCACTAGGCGCGGGAGAGGCGCAGGCGTAAGGTGTCATAGGGGCGTGAAAGCGCGGTAGAACAGCGGAATGCGCGAAGTGACTCTGGTGTGTGCAAACACAATCAAAAGCTTGGGGATGTGATGGTGACAACTGCCTGAATGATATGGAGATGACTGCAATGAGGCGAGAGTGATGTGTGTATGCGCGTGAATAAGGCGTCATAGGCGCGCGAAGCGTGGGAACATTCGCGCTTATGAAGCGGAAGTGCGCGAATGCGGTATTCAAGTGATAGCGACTCTTCAAGATGGCGTAAGGATGCGAACTCATGATGACAATAGATGGCTGATGATGCGAGTGTGGTGTGAATGTGCTGTGTAAGGCGCGGGAACATTCGCGCTTGAGGCGCCTGAGGTGCGCGGATGTGCGTGATAAGCGCGAATGTCGCGTATGCCGCATAAGCGTTGCATAGTGCAGGGAAGGTGAAGAGGCGAATGTCCAGTGATATCCAAGGTGTGGAAGGCGAAACTGCGTGTTGAGGAAGTGGTCCAACCCATGTCCAAACCAAGTCCCACTAGGCGCGCTATGAAACAGGTGCTAAGGGAATGAATGACATGAGTAAAAATATAAGTGAAAAAGCGAAAGTGAAATGGTAAACTTTGCGGATGTCCTGTCCGTCTTGTCTTCTTCGTGCAACTATCAACATCCATGTCCTTCTATGCGCTAAGCGCGAAAAAAGCGCGCGCGCGAGGCGCGTAAGGCGCGGGAATTAGGCGATAAGTGCGAGAATGAGGCGCTATAGGGGAGCATTCTAAGGTAATAATGTGCATGGTGCCACAGCATGCGTTAGAAGCAAAAATAATATCCTACTGGGTGAGGTGGGCACGAGTCTATGGGTGTTTTGTTGTTTTTCTTGTTTTCTTCTAAGCGGATCTATAAGTGTATATATCAGTGTGTTATTAGTGTTAAGGGCGATGTAATGATAATAAAAATGAAAGGTGAAAAGCGCTGGATGAAAACCAGGGTAAAACAAACTATATCCTATGAAAAACATGGTATATGCTGATGTTTGCGAAATGATGGTTGAAGCGGTTGAAGCGGATGAGGCGCGAGGCGAAGGCGCGTGAGGCGACAGTGGTAGGCGACAGGAAATGATGTGATCTTCATCTTCAAGACTCTGCAACAACTTCTTCAACCGGGCATGAGCTGAATCTTCTGCAAAACTCGCGATAGCGGCGGACTAGTGACTGGAGGGATGAATTCTTGCACTTGGTGGCGCCTATTAGGCGCGCGCCAAGGCGAGGCGAGGCGAGGGTAGTAGAGATGCACTACAGCATGATAGGCTGCAGGCGACGCTGGCACGTTAGCGCGTTTAGGCGCGAAAATGATTATATCCTCTGAATTTGCGAGGATAGGCTGATATACTGAAAACGCGTTAGTGAAAGATGAATATGAAGCAAGATTAGGCGCGAATAAGGCGCAGATGATGAGTATGGACGATTTATCAAGGCGCCATAGGCGCTTGGTCATGAATGGTTGGTGTTTGATAGAAAATGAAAAGGTGATATGGACGCGATAGGCGAAAACGCGAAAAATGCGAATAAGGACAAATGATGTGAAGTTAATTGTAATGATGGATGCTGTAGGCGGATGTGTACATGCCAGGCGCGCGCCTAAGTCGCGCCTGAATGGCTGATTGAAATATAAGTCATGATGAATGCAAGGAATGCGATTTAAAAGTGATAAGGTGGTAAAAACGCGATCGAGGGAAAACTTTGGTGTAATGATGGGCGCCTTCGGCGCGAGAATTAAGGCGTTAGGCGCGCGACTGTGGCGCCTAAGTGAGGGAATGATGGTGAGCTTGATTGAAGGGGAAAGCAAAGTATTAGCAACTGATAAAAAAACTCCTTGAGAGCGAAAAATGCGAAACAAGTGAAAAAGGCGAAAAAGGCGAAGGTTGAATGTACATTGCCTCTAGGCGCGCGAACTGCACGATTTCAGGCGCCATAGGGTGCACTGGAGGCGCGTCAGGGTCGCCTGAGACATGATCTATATGGTGAGTGGGTGATGTGATGCAAGGATGTTTGACTGGCAAGCGGAAGTCACTGAAAGCGGAACACGCAATATGCACGGTATTGTCAGTAACAAGCAGATTTACCAGAGACAAACTCTGGTCAAGGTATGGCGCATTTTGGAGCTCTGGCACTGCAGGATGCTCCTGAATAGGCGCGCTAAAATGCGATGGGGTTTGAGGGTCGTTGTTGATGATGGGTGATGCGATCTCCTCTAGTGGCGCGTTTAGCGCGTTCGCGATAGCGGTAGGTGCTTGTACTTCTTGCTGGGGTAAAAACAACTTCGCCCAACTGATCTTCTGGGTCGCTTTGAAGCTCTGTAGGTTCGCCTACAATAGGCGCCTCGATATGGGCTGGTGCGAAAGCGATTTCAATGATACAGTGGCTCAAAAAACCGTCCGTATGTTTTGGCATTTTTCACTATCTATAATATTGTGTGAGAACAAACAAATGCCTCAAAAACATGCTTATACCACATTGTAGTATGGCTTCAGGGCTTTCATTTGAGCCCTACACCGTGGGAATCGGTGGAGATATGGTGGAGATACAAGGCTCACAAAATGGTGACTCATGCGGACAGTTTTTTGACTCAAGTATTTTACAGTAATAACCAGGTATTCTAGTATTTTGTATGACCTCCCTTGGCTTTAATTACTGCCTCTATCCTTCTAGGCATACTCTCAATTAATTTCTGGCAATCCTCAGCTGTGATCTTCCCCCATTCCACTGCTACTCTCTCCCAAAGCTCCCATACTCCTTTAGGGGGGTTTTCATAGGCTTGAAGCTTTTTCTTGAGTGTTCCCCAGAGATGTTCAATGACATTGACATCAGGAGACTGTGCTGGCCAGTCAAGAACATTGATGTTATGTTCTTCAAACCATTCCCTAGCTCTTCTGGATGTGTGCTTGGGATCATTATCCTGTTGGAAAATGATATCTTCTTCATCAATCCCTGATTCTGCCAAGCTAGGCAGCAAGTGGTCATTTAAAATGTCCACATACTGCTCAGCATTCATCTTCCCCTCAACCTCAGGAAGCATTCCCACACCATTCCATCCCATACAGCCCCATACCATTAAAGAACCTCCTCCAAACTTGACAGTCCCATTAACCTCTCTGTCTGTTAGGCCATCTCCCTTCTTTTTCCATACATACACCTTCCCATCTGACCCAATCCTATTGATTTTGGTCTCATCTGACCATATAACATGCTTCCAGTCCTCTACAGTCCAGTGTTGATGAGCTAAGGCAAAGGCTAGTCTTCTCTGCCTATGTTTGATGGAGAGAAGAGGCTTTTTCTTCTTTGTTACTGCCTTGAGATGAGCTGCCTTGAGAACATTCCTCACAGTTTGTGAAGAGACAGGGGTAGTGATGGTGGAATTGATATAATGGGTGGCTTGGACAGCATTATCAGCCTTTCCTGTAGTGATATGTTGGATAATAGCCCTTTTGTCAGTAGAGGTAAGCTTGGATGGACGTCCTCCACAAGAGTTTTCCTTGTCTGGGTGGCTTTCTTTGATGAACTTGGCCACAGTGGACTTGCATATTCCAGTTCTAGAGGAAATTTGGCGAGCAGAGAGGCCAGCATAAGACAGAGAGAGGATATTATCTCTTTGAGCAGAGGAGATGGCTTTCATGGTGATTATGACTATGATACATGAGATATTCTGGTTTATATAGTTAGATATAGTCATAAAATAACATAATGACACCACTTTATAATTTATATAATAGTGGCATGATTTTTATGGTGTCATAAATAATGATTTATATAGTTTTAATATACACTCAAAAACTGTCCACATGAGTCATCATTTTATAAGCCTTATATCTCCACCATATCTCCGCCGATTCCCACGGTGTAGGGCTCAAATAAAAGCCCTGAAGCCATACTACAATGTGGTATAAGTATGTCCTTGAGGAATTTGTTCATTCTCACACAATATCATAGATAGTGAAAAATGTCAAAACATGCGGACAGTTTTTGAGCCACTGTAGGCGATGCTGGAGTAGGCGGAAGGGGAATGGTTTCGCGTGTTTCGTTGTACTTGGCGCCATGACTGCAACTGCTGGCTGATCTAAGGCGCGTTCTGGTTGCTGAGGTGCGCCTACGAGTGGCGCTTCATGGTGCGCTTCAAGGGGCGGAAGCGGAATAGTGGATTGCGCGCTAGTAGGGCGTGTATAGCGGCGCTCAATGCCACATTCTGGGTACATGAACAAGGCGGAATTAGCGAACTCTTCGTAGTTGTTACCTTTGTAGTACTGAAACAGCTCTCTCTCGTTAGGCGCAGTATACTTCAAGGCATACTTGATGATGTCCTTATCTGACAGCCCAAGTGGTTGCGCGAGTCGTTCTACTGACTCCAGGAAGTTGACCAGTTGGGTGTAGTCACCTCCAAAACGTGGAGCAGCGCTGCAGGTGCGCAAAGGCATGCCAAAGGAATCTACTGGCGTGTTCATGGTGTGAAAGCGAAGGGGGCGTAAATCACGAATTTCGCGATTTAGGCAGAAAAGCGGAAAAGGCGGATATGCGGATGCGCGGAATAGGCGGAATAGCGAAAGGCGGAATAGGCGGAAACGCGATAATGTGAATACGGCGAAAATGTGGGAAGCGGATATGCGGATAGTGGAGTAGAGTGGAATGGAGTTGGATATGTGTGGATGTGCTGACTGATCCCCTCGCGGTGGGCTCCAGTTGAAGGATCTTCAACTCAGCTGAGGGTGCAGCTGATCAGGGTGCGGAAATTTGATAGAAGCGGTGGACACAATCGATGAGCCAGAACAGTGGGTGGAAGTGTAAACACGCTGGTGGTCACGATCAGTGGAGTAGAACAATGCAAGGAATAATAGGCACGCGGTGGTCGTGAAGAGTGGGTCAGGGTCAATGGAAGTGTGGGCTAGATCGCAATTCCCTATAAGAACCCTCCAACCTTTCCTTCATCCGCTCCTTCATCTCATAATTCCTACCATGTCTTCCTTCACCTTTTCAGAAGTCGTCAACCCCAATGTCGACAAGCTGCAATGCACTTTTGCTGATCTGCACCTCAAACATCTGTCGAAGATCCCTGGCCACATGAGGATAAATTGGTGTAGTCGCAGCCACCATCCTTTCCACATCCTGGGATTTCAGGTATCAGCTGGAGATAATGATGGACAGATGTCATAAATGCACAGCGGCGTGAGTAAAGAGCAATCTGATGTGGGATGTATCCATCACTTCCATACCAGCATAGCCTGTATAGGTGTCTCCAGGCTTGCCCCCAGTAGGTTTCCTGGAGCCTACTAGATGCATCTTACTCCATTCAAATTGGCGGAACTGGCTGCCCCGTTTGATGGCTTTGGTTTCCTTTCCGGCAGAGGATTCATAATGGATCTTCTGAAAGTCCTCATAAGAAAATGTGTCAAAGGAAACTCCTGCCAACACAGTATTGGGCGAGCTGGCATCAACCAACAGGGTGACGTCCCAACCACAGCATGCTAGAACATCTGCACAGCAAGAAATCTTTCTCAACCCCAAGTCCATTAGAGGAATATAGTCGGTATGGACCGCCACACCCTAAGATAAAATAATTTCAGGACAAGCAGGAACATTGATGTCAAAATCCTTACCTTCCCTGTGGGAGGAAGTCGATCAGGATCGTTGGCAGGATAAGGCATGACAACCTTCCCATGGATTTCCGAGCGATAACTGGGCTCAACAGTCCAATACCTGACACACTTGGAATCTTCGGCCTGATGATAGCATGTGCGACAACCCCGGGTACTTGGATCTACATTTTTGTGGAACTTCTCATGAAAACCTTTGGCCAATTCTTTGCATAGGCCCCTCAGCTTGGCAGATGACTTCAGAACCAAAAGCAGTTCTTCATCCAGATGAAGGGCATCCAGATCGGCGGCAAGAGAAACCACAGATCAAGCAGAATAGATGGTTCAATGAGGCCTTGCATATCTGTTAAATAAATCATATCAATGTAATTGCCAGTATAATCAAAGAGTGCACCCACCCATGTCACAGATGGCGCCTTGGCAGCCAGGGTCGGTAACATCCATCTAACAGCTTCAGCCAGGAAGCATCTCTCAGATGAAAATGCAAATACTGAGGAGTAATTGGACCGAAATGGACACACACAATTCCGGGACAGGAGTTGCAGAAATTCCTGGGCATTTGCACTTGTAGACCGGCCAGTCTCAATCCTGGGAGGTAAGACTCAATCGACCCATTCAAGCAAACAACTAAGCAGACTCTCTTTCCAACAATATCACTGGAATCTCAGGGACAGATAAGGGGTCTTGTTCTCCAAACCCACTTGTGGGTTGGCGATCCGGAGGATTTCATGACCCAGGCCAGAACGCTGAGACGAGTGTCAAAGACCAAAACATGCCAATGGACATGGAAGATGTGGTGTTTACCAAGATAACTGATTCCATCGTGGATTTGCGGGCGGCATGCGGGTTGTGAGTCCATTTCCTCATCTCCCGCAGTGTAGTTATGGCTGGAGCCTCCAGCTCCTGACACACTTTTAGACAATTGGTTTTCCTAAGGGATTGTCTGAGGCCTGCTTACCCATGTTCCTTGGCCAAAGAAGTTGGCCAAAGCGGATTTCCATCTAAGACAGCACTCTTTAGCCCCATGAGACCAATCAGAGATTAATCCCTCAGCATCAATAGTTTCCAATGGAGTGTCATCTTCAGATAATTGGTCATGCGTGGTCAGCTGATGAGTGTTCAACACATTAGACAGGGGGGCAAGCTTTCTGAGGCCGCTCACCAACAAGCCTTGTAAGACCAAGCCCTCAGCCACTCCTTGCAGCAAAACTTTCATGGCCCCCCATTGATGACACATTCTCATTAAGCTGAACTGAATATAAGCTCTGCATAAGGATTCATCTGGCAGCTTAGCCCAACGTAATTCATGATGGTCTTGATATGAGGTCTTTGGTCCAAGCATCTATAACAGGAGAAGAGTGCATTAGTATATATCATGGTTAGACTAAGATGTGACAGGTGCTCACCCCGGGGTCCTTGCGCAGAAGTACAGACATGGTTTCATCCTCCCACCTAGAGGCTTCCAGTTCAGTGAAATGTGGTTGTAGTACAGCTCTCAATACCAAATGGTTCGTCCAGGGTGCTGTAGAAGACATGGCACTGAGGTCAAGATAAGATCTGGGCCTGTTTGGACATGGATATTATTACCTACCAAAAGACCCGGCGTTGAGAAACACAGGCTTCTCCCAATTGAGAACATTAAGTTTAATTTTTTCTTCTTATATTACTACATTCAATTTCAGTCTTCCTTTGCAGCACATGCTCCAGATGCTCTTGGCATGACATACGTGCTCAATGCTCATTGCCACTGGCTGAGCAACTTGTATTTGCCTTGCAGAGCTTTTAGTCTAGTGTGGGCAGGCATTTAGGAAGTGATTTCCTTGTCTGTCCTGGTAGGTAGCATTATTTTTGTTGGGCGCATCCCGTGTCCATTCAAAGTCCACCTACAGTGCTGAGTGGTCTGTGTTTTTTGTCCTTAGCTGATCTTGAATGCTTGGAGCCTACTGGCGCCCACCTCCAGGAGTATCTCTTTGATGACTAATCCTTGCAATCTGCGCTCTGGTGAAGCAAAGTGAGACATTTTGTTTAGCCAGCCTTAGCATATGGAGAGCTCCAACAGTTGGCGCTTTTAGATAGGGCATCACAAGTTGCCTACTGATGAGACTCTCCTCCCTGGTACCTACAAGCTCCTGGAGTCCGCACGTCAGTGATGTCGTTGTGACTGTCACCCTGTGACAGGCATCTTTGGCAGGCCACAGATTCTCATATCCTCCTCCATACCGATACCAGTTAACTCACACATTGGCAGATCGTAAGTACTTAAGGGTTTGGTCTCTTGTTGAGTGTCAGGCTGAAATGCAGATTGGCATGACACCAGATCTTACATAATGAGCAAAGTGATTCTGGTAGTGCCGGATCCAGGGTGGAAGAAGACCCAGTTGCAACTGCAACAACAGACCTATATTGATTGGGTGTTGACCTCTCTATCTCAACAGGAGGCTGACTACCTATTGGGTAATGGGGACCTTGATGGCCTGATTTTCGCAGCTACATCCAAGCAGTCGTGTGGCAAAGAGGTTCCTAAAGGACACAAGATGGTGTATATCAATGAAGTGGTAAGTCAGCGGCAATGGTATCTATGACAGGCATCACGACCCTCACTCCAATTATGATGTGTAGTTATTGATGTGGCACACAATTGATATGTCGCCTAAGAACTGCCTGCAGGCGTGCTACATGAATTTCAAAACATTCACTGAAGTCATTCACATGCGCCTGGATAAGCTCGAGCTGGTCATGAAAAAATTTGCCGCTGTATGAGGAGGTTTGGATTGACCAAAAATTACAGGTGAATCCATCACTTAAAATGGAGTTGGACAGGCTGATCCCAGACCTTGGTGTAAGACAGAGAGGCTCCAGTTTTGTTTCGCCTTTCCAGTTCCTCAAGGGATCGGGGGGATTCAACTTTATGCTGCACATGTGAGAAATACATGTGGGCACTGCGCAGGCCGGAAGGTGTGCTTCCGTTGTGGCCAGGCATATTGGAGTGCTGGGCTGCATCCCATGATCACAATGCCATTAGCTTGTTGGATTCCATCGCCTGGGACGGCACCCAAACTCATCACCCCACGACACAGCTAATCGTTCCAGAGACAAAGTTTGATCCACATGTTACTGAACTTGTGGTTGTGAAGCGTGAAGCCAGCGCCTCAAGACTGTTCATCAAATATCCTGGGAAGCAACGGATGCTCAATGAAGCGGAGAAGCATGGGGAGTATCAATTGTTCAAGCAACCGTATGTCCCAGAGTGGGACAAGGTAGGCCAGTGGCATCGCCTCATAGTTAACCAGGCCCTTTTCTGTATCTTCATTCACCCCGGATCTTCCACGCTAGCCAACTGCAATTCCCATGTCTTGGACCACAGCCTGCAGGAGGATGGATGGAGTTTGGAGGAACTTGGCCTGTAGGGAGTTTGTGCCCCCATCTTTGTCTATCGCATTGACTCCGTCATTCAGGCTCAGCAAATCCAATCCGGATCAATGCAATTTCATGATTCATGAGGGCAGAACACAGGCAGAAATTTCCAAGGCTCAGGCAGAAATCTGGGAGTTCTTGCTGACCACGCTTGCAGTCTACATCCAAGGAGAAGAAGAAATGTTGGGCCGTTGAGGCCTTGAGAACAGGTTGCAGCCATCATCCTTGAGGGTTTCGGGCACGGGTAGATCTCTCCATCATCACCGATCCTGAAAGCCAGAAGCTCCAGTACTTCGTAACCGGCATCTCGCAAGGCCCAGGTATGGTGTTGTATGGCTCAGTCGATGCCAACACCATCCGAAGATATGCCTTAGAGTTTGCATGCCCTTTTGAATGCTGGATTGGTCCACACAATCCACATCTCCAGATCACATTATCGA